AGTGCCTTCCTGATCAAGGGCAGTAAAGCCTTATGCACTAATTAAAGATCTAAGAATAAGCAGTTTATATTTGGCCCCATGCATTTGTGCCACAAGATGCATGAGTGGGCAAACAAGCCTTTTTTGGAAGTGGTTGTCATCCTTAGAAGGACAGGCCTGAAGCACAGCTCCCTGCACCCTTTGGAGACCCTCTCTCACAGCAATGATGCTCCTGGCCTCAGGACCTGGGGCTCTGCTTCCTCTGCAAGCAATGACAGCAGCAACTGGCTGCCAGACAGCCTGCTTAAAACAAGCATTTGCTGAGAACAATTGAGATTAAAGAGAGACTTTTTAAATAGACAGTGAGATGCTGCTGCTAATGCATGAGTGGTTATAAACCTGTTGGTGAAAGCTACTAGACCTTTGCTTTCTACACATCCAACCAGTAGTTGTAGCTGAGCCATATAATCTGCTCTCTTTACTTTCAAAGTATTACAGAGAAGCTGTTTCGATGGCAATCAGGCTTTCCATTCCCTTTCTCTTTTACATAACCAGACAAATCTTCCCTGTGACCTGCCTCAACGAACATTGTAGCTTCACTGGAGAAGGTTCACCCTTGAGCTCTACCACTGAGTAAGCCATAAAGACCCTTCCTCTCAGGGCCTAATACATTTTTTAGCTTTTCCCGGGTGGGTTTTGCCACTTTAAAAGCTCACTAAGGCATCTACTCCCCAGTCTACAAACCTGAAGTGTGCTGACTAGAACCAGAGTATGAAGCACATGTTGGGTAGAACTGTAGTGGGATATGCATAAAAAAGTGGAGCTACACTACTTTATTTAGAGTAATTTTTAAAAATAAATACCTTGCTGATTTTGTCTGGATGCATTGCAATGCTGTGTTGAAGACATATGAGAACACCCTTGAACCTCAGCCTCCCTCCCCGCATTTTTTTTTTGCAGATTACATGTCAATACTGCCCCCAGAACAGCGTCATTTGACTTGCACTGTTTTCATGCATGTTTTTACCGAGATCCCTCTACAAGGCAAACTCAGTAATTCATATTTTCAAAGCTCAAAACACCGACATTGTAATCCCAGCTCCAGTGCCAGTTCCCAAACTGCACTCCCGGAATTCAGTGCGGCTGCTCCACACACTACGTGCAATCATCATTACAGAGGGGACGGAGCTGCTCTTTCACTGTCCCTTTGTACCACCCCCTGGAGCTGTACACCTAATTGGGGCTGAGGCTGTTATCAAGCTACACTCATGTTTATCATATTTCAGGGCTATTTCAAGAGCATAATTTCATGTCAGACGCCAAGCATCATAAGTTTGCATCCTCCTTCATATTAGGGGACACACAGTTTGCTGTTCTACGGTGCGTCATGGCCACTAATGACCTCAAAGCCTCAAAGTGCATCGCAGGTGCCACTAGCCCTACCTTGATCCCCTTAGCTGCCTATGTCCCTCGCAGCTATGTTAGTAATCTTACTGCTTCAACAGTAATTTTCCCAGAATAAATAAGCATTGTGATGACAGGTCTTACACCTAAACAGCAGTAAGTCTCACAGGATCTATTACAGACTTATTCCTACCAGCCTTCCTTTGAATTGCAAAGTTATTACTAGTTTTGCTCTTTCTGTTATTCCTTGTGACCCTTTCCCCTGCAGTAGGTTTAACAATACAGCTTTAATTTTGTCTCATTTCTCCACTTGACAGAATTAAACTGTAAGATTAAAAAAAAATATATAAAAATAACTGGAGAGAAACAGAATTGCCCTTTGAGAAATCAGAAGCTTCAGAGAAGATGGTTTTCATCTTGCCAGTGGCAAGACTGTCACTGCAACAGAAGAATGACACTAACGATAAATGTGCAGAAAGTGAGGTGAGGTGGAGTGGAGGCACAGGGAAAAAAACCTGTTTGTTCAGATGGTACATTACAACACAGGATTCTTTAAAACAAACACACAAACAAACAAAAGAAAAAGGAGCAATTCTAACGCCATAAAGTCCATGCTAACTCTAATGCAGTAAAGATTTTACCCAGCAGGGCCAAACTGGTATTAGTTCTGGGCCTATTTAAGTGAACACAGTGATACGGATGTCCCTCTCTACATGAATGAGAAAACAGCACTATTCTGAAACTGCTTAAGTTTCAAGAGCAGGATTACAGAGGCAAGTCACAATAATCAGTTGAGAACAGCACAAAAAAGGCAACCCTAAACAAAGATGCAGACGCAGCAGTGAGGCAGGGAGGGACATTCACAGAGCTTGGCCAATATTAAGATTCTAAAGCAAGAGTCTAAATAGAGAAAGGAACTTGCTCCTGGCTGAGGTTAACTCCTCCTGATGAAAAGGATTTCTGCTTCTGAAACAGCTAGCACAGGCAGTTCACATTAGAAATTTACCTTGAGCAGTCTCCAAGTGGAAAAAGGCTTAACAATTTTATTGAAAGCTGGAAGAAACTATTATCTGAATAGTTCTAAAATTGGTTGCATCTTATTTTACATGCTTCTCTTTTTCCCTCCTAAGTTGCATAAGTTGCATAAACAAAAAAGAGCAGAATAGAGAGCGAAGGAAGAAGCAAGGCCTTGGTGCAGGAGGACAGACTACCAGGCAGAAAAAGAAACACGAGGAGAAGAACAGAGAAAGATGTGTCAGAGTTCACCAGGATGAAATGATACACAGTCCTGAATACTGCATTGAAGTTAAGAGGAAGGGAGAAGAAAGATCCTTCATTAGCAGCAAATACTCATTAGGCATACCAAGTGGGGCAGTTTCTGCTTTATGGCTAGTTCAGAACAGCCTGGAAACTGGGCAAACAGATCCACTGATTGTTTGGGGGTCTACCAAAGATTAATGGGACCTCTGTTCCTCCGTCTGAGGCCTGTTTGCTGAAATGTCTTATGACAAAAGGTCATGTACTCTATGTGCTCCCTTTAGGAAATTGCTCTAATGAGTGTAGATCCTGCTTTGATATGTTAATGTCTGGTAGCTTACTGCATATGGCAAATTGTTTTTTCTTGCCACTGTAACATATTTCAAAATTAAACTTTTGATCACGTAAAAATCAAGTAATTTTTGCAAATTATCCTATCTCTTAGCTAACATGAATAAAATGCAACATCTAACAGAGCAGAGGAGGTAATCTGCTGTACGTCCTGCCTTTCAAAGCTTTGAATTTGTCTTCCATTTGCTCAACCTCATTCACCTACAGAATTCAAACACCCTTATGAAGTAAAATAGCTCTTGGGCACCATGTTTACTTCCCCTCCAGAATTAAAAGGAGGCTCAATGATAGGTGTGTCACCTATTTATGCCCAATCCAGAGGGCAATGAGCAGTCCAAGAGGCTTTGCTCCTCATGACACAATCTCTGCTCTCTCCCAGCCTCCCTTGTCCACGTCTCCCTTAATGCTACCTCTTTCAGAAAAGCAATTGCAATGGCCCTTTCACTCACATCACTTGCTGTTTTGCAAGCAGTGTTTAAACTAAATACTTTCTGAAGGGTGATATTTTAGCATTCCAGATCACTCTCACTGTCATTAAGCCAAGCAAAAAGCATGTTGTTAGTGGTATCTTGCATTCACAGAATCCCGTCGAGCTGTGGAAGAGCTGATGGCAGCTCACAGCCCTGCTTCTATACCAGCACTGTGTGCTACAGGTAATGCCAGCACCTTCACCAGCTTGCCAGCATAGGGTCATGTTCACTTGGTGACATTCTGTATCAATCACCCACTACATCCAAAATTGCTTTAAGAACTAGAAAAGGTGTTGGGCAGGAAAGAGGACTACAAGCTCAGTAATTCCAGACACCTTTTCTTGCAATATCTGCAGTCAGGATTAGTGGTAATTCTTTCATCTATCAGTTTCTTCATCTACTTCCACTGAACTTCAAACATGATTTCGTAGCTGCAGAACTGTATTTCTACCTACAAACTGCAAAAAGATACACAAATCATACTGTGTCTATGAAACAGAGGTTGGAATCAATAGCAGCACATACCAGACAAAATTTAAAACAGCAAATCCCCAGAATGAATTCTGAGAACATTTCACTGAGTGAAAATACCATTGACAAAGATTACCTACGCCTTTCCTTCTCACTCCCTGTCAAGTCTTTTACTGATCCCAACACAACAGGTAAAATGAGCGAGCCTTTTCTCTGCTAGTCCATCATCACACTAGTTTCAAAGAGGATTTTCTATTTGGTAAAACGACTGGATCAAATTAAATTTACAACCAAATTAAACAAAAGCGAAGATAAACATCTTGTGCAAGATTTCACTGACAATGAAACAGCTTAGATGTGACAATCTACAGTAATCTCCCAATCCATTCCTCCATACAATCCTGTAATTGGACATGCCCAGCTGAGGCTGTGGAGAGCTCCTTTTAGCGTATTTGCTTTCCTTATAGCCAGTTTCTTGAGAACATTTTTTTCTTCTTTTTTTTTTTTTTTTTTAATGCTACTAAAACGTACATGTGGATACAGTGCCATATGCCAATTTTGGCGGGACAGACCAAGTAGTGGGAAATGAGCAGCAGTGAATCTGGAGTGGGAACTCAGTGGTTTCCTTGCTATGAAAGTGCAGCATAATGCAACAAGCACTTGGTCCTGGCATCAACCAGAGCAAATCCTTTCAATTTTTGTGCTATAGAGATGAGATGTCTCCATGTTGGCAGAAAGCCAACCAGCTTTAGCTACCTGCTGCCTTCAGGGCAAGGCCCTCAGCAAGGTTGTCAAATGCACAGGGCCGCATTCTACCTTCCTTTTGCAAAAATGCTTGCAGCAGGTCATATATCAGAGGGTTTTGAACAATGACCATTTAACAGTAATGAAAGAAAAAGCCTGAAAAAAAAATTCTAAAGACTATTTCCACTCAGAGACTTTCAGCTTGCAGAGCCCTTTATAACGTTAGTGTAGAATACTATCTTCTGCCACACACAGAAGGAAATAACCAGGTAGGAAGGAAAGGATGAAACATTTAGAAAAGCTAGGTGCAATTTTACATCTTACCTTCTGAACGTTGGGTTTGATGCAACGGACAAAGAAAGGATTCGAAGAACTCAGCGTTGCCATTAAAGAATGAAGCGATTCCTAAAACACAGTTCGAGAAACAGACAGCACTTTACAAGGGCACTTTTTGCACAAGCAAAACATTCAAGAAAGAGTTCTCCAAGTTTAGCGTTGCAGACAACATCCACTGCAACACCTAGTGGTTCCCACCCGGAATTACAATCACTAATAAACTCGCTATACAGTGAACATAAATACGTACACGTTGGTTTCCTCCATTGGCCCTATTGATTACAACCATCACCACTACTTTACAGTGATCAAGATCAAGGCAAAACTAAGGTAAAGCTAAAGTAACTACAAAGATGTATTTCCTCCTTTCATTACAACTGTCTCTCATTCATGCATTTTCCATTTTCCCTCTAATCAACAGCTTTCTATGCCCAAGATGTTACTTCTCCCCACTACGGTCTCTATCTTGCTTGACAGAAAGACACTGTGATGATAAATACGAGCCACCAAGGGGACAAAAGAATTAAAATGTTCCCCTCAAAAAACAGGTATTTTAAAAGTGTAGTAAATACTGTTTTAACAATACAAAATTTGCAAACAAAAATCTCACAAATCAACAAAAACTGAATAAAGGATATAGTGGCAATGTTTTACTGCAAGATGACTGTAAGAGCATTAAGCAAATAATAACACAGTAGTTCTATTTTGTGACTAACTCCATTTAACAATAAAAAGAAAGATTGCAAGGCTCAGTTAAAAAAATAAATCCTAGTTTTAGCACTCCAAATGAGCCAATGCACATTAGACTTCCAGTTATCTGAACCTCAAGCTGGAGATAAAAATCACAAAATCCCTCAGCCCTTTGCTGATTATTATTTTAATTATACACCCACCCCTTTCTCTCCTGAGCCATTATTCCATGTCTTATGCCAGTTTGCCTCATCCTGTATCATTAAGTATGAAACACTTTATAACTGAAACCTTTTTGCTTTGCAGAGATACAAATCACTGCACAGGAGAAGCCAGACTCTAAAAAGCCCAGAGAGCGAGCAAGGCTGATGTTTCAGCTGCAGAGAGAATACTGAGCAAGTTGCCAGAGATAGAAAATTCACTTTTTAAAGGAGCAGCAGTGTGTGTCCTCCGATGTGCTTTGAGTAAAGCAGTGAATGGCAGTCTGCTACATTAAAATATAGCTTTAATCTGCAAAGGAAGGGTTTTCTTGATGATTAAACATGAAGTGATAAAGGCAGCAGGCAGAGTCATGGCTGTGCACAAGAACCGCTTCACAACAAAGACAGCAAATCGTCAAGTGACTGGGAATACAATTGGGATAGTTTTGTGGTTTGTTGGCCTACACTGGCTTAAGGACATGAAGTCAGGGCAGCGAATATTAAACAGTTCACAGGTACAACGACTAATATTTTCCTATAAAGACAAATATTTATTCCTTAAAAATTAAAGTGCTCATTTGTACTAAACCTATGTGAACGTTACACTATCTACAGACAATTAAGCCAATAATCAGATTTTCTAGCAATGCAGGTTACCGCTTGTAGAAACTTAGCAGTCACTCAACTCTAAACACAAGTGATTTATTCTCTTCTCATGGTCAGCTCTGGATACAGATAGCCAGATTCTGCACAATACTACACTGCTTTAAGCCCATGTAAGGAGACTGTGCTAACTTGAAGTCAGTCCCGCTTGACGCAATAATAGGCTGAAGCAGGTGATCTCCAGCACTCCCCTCAGCTATTCAATGCTCACCTCTCCGGACGGCATCAGAGAGTACCCTGAATCAAAGATTTCAAAAGAAAACTGGTAGGTTAATAACAAATCAATCTATTTTAAGAACTCTGCCTTCGCAGCTTCATTCTTCCCATCCTAAACTGGAATGAGACAAACTATTCCTTGGAAGGCTGTAAAAGAAAGCAAAAGGCTGTGCAAAGAAAGCAACCAAATCCTTTGGGAGTGACACGACGTGAAGGTCAATGTCTTCTGAAGCAGCACTGCTATGATCTGTTATTGCAGCTTTATGTAAGAGGCAGCGATGCTTTGATTTGCTGTTTTATCATGGTTTATGCTGTCCATGGTCTCTGATGGGGCACAGGAGCTCTACACCATGTTCTATCTTGCAAAGTGGATGATGTAGAACTACAGACACTTTTTACATGGCAACGCTTTAGATTTACTTTTCACAGCTACTCATGACTATATAGAAACAATGCCCTCTGCTATCTCTGAGACCTAGCAAGTGACAGCAGCTCATCACAAGAAGTGGGTGCTGTATGAGACCAGGGATGTTAGCACAAAGCAAGCTGCCCAGGGAACATGAACATTAGTGTTTAAAAGAACTTGTGTGCACCCCACCATACGTTCCTTGCAGTTCTGTCTAACCAGTCTATTAGGATAATGTCTGCCCTAAAGGGGTTCAAGTCTACACCCTTAAAAAAAGAGTGAATGAACAGAGCATTAATTTGAGCAAAATGAGAGACAGCTAATCCAGACTTGTACTCCTGCAATTTACAGAAGATTTTGTGCCAATCATTCTCTTTCAAATAATTTGGAGATAGACTTTATGTTAGATTTCAATTTGGTGCCATTTTGGATGGCAGAGTTAAAAAGCTTCCTAAAAATGTTTTTAATAAAAGAACTTTCCAAACTCTTAAGTTAAAAGGCTGGGCAACACCTTAATGAGATATGTATTTAGTACTTATTTTTCATAACGTAGCGGCATTGCTCTAGGGCTCCATGCCACTTTGTGGTTGATTTTAGATTAGAAAGAAAAAAAATGAGACAAGAGAGACTAGCTTCATGGAAGACCTTTAAAATAAGGACAAGGAAGCGAATGGAAAGCAAAAGTAATTCTGTGTGAATGCTGTAATATGAAGATCAGTTGAAGCTAGTATGGCCAAGTAGTTGATTAATAACTACAGTTTCCTAGAAGAGACAGCAACGTTTTAGAGCTGAAGTTTTTAAAGCTTTAATCACAATTGTTCTCGCCTGAAGAAAGTTTATCTATCACCGATTAGCCAGGGAGCACAAAGAACACATTAACTAACCTTGAACTGTAGGCTGACAGTGGGCTTTCGGTGCTTGCTTCCACATTTAAGAGTGTCTTGATTGTTGCGACTTGAAACGTGCTCAAATAGGTCGTAGATGAAATCAAGGCTGAAATGGGAAAGGAAAAACAAATCTCAAAGGTGTCTCCTAACAGAGCACAGGGTTTACCACTGTGCAGTGCAGCACAAGCACTCTCCCTTGGAAAAAAATGTATGATTTCTAAACTACAAATCTTATTCTTTGCAGAGCGTATACAAGGGAAGCAAAAATGATAATCCTGGTTCCCTCCTCTATTCGCAACATATCATTGGGAAATGAAGAGTGAAATCCTAGGGACACACTCAGCCAAAATTCCAGGTGACTGTAATGGGGGCTACACCTGAATAGAGGTGTAAAAAGATTTCCAGTTTGCTTTGAACTGTAACAAAAAATAAGTACTCACATCACTTCACACTGAGATACTGGCTATGCGAGCCATTTTTTACACCATCCATCTTGTATCCTCCTGTTACCACTTCTACAGAAACATATGTCTTTTAGCTTAAATATAATCATTCTAGACAGACATTGATACAATTGCAAAATCAGGCCCTGCAGCTTTAACTCATTTATTACTTTTATCCACATACTTCAACTGACAGATGTTATGTCAGATATGTCATGAAAACAGAACTAATAACTTACAGATGGAAATATTTATTAATAGTTTCCATGTATCCAGGGGCTGAAGGGATTTAAAATGCAGCTACTCGCACAGAAAGGCAGCATGACTGGATGGGTTAGGGCAGCAGCCAAGAATGGAGACAACCTGAGTTCAGTTCCCTGCTGTTGCATGAAAACTCTATTAAAAATCTTGGCATCTCAATCATACATGCAAAGAAAGGGGTAGCGCATTGCTGCAACTCACAGAGGTACTGTGAGGATCATGGACTTCACCTTACACAGCAGAATGCCAGAGGCACACAAGTACCAAAGACAACCAGGCACACACTTTTGATAATATAAATTCTTTACAGAAATTCTCTTTTCTGAGACATTATGAGATGGCAACTGGTACTGCAATACATTTGCACTGCAAAACATACACTACCAGTATGTACCACTACACTTATTTTGTTAACAGGCATTACTACAATTTCTTCTTTGCTCCTTTTAGCTCCGCTAAGCACCGGTGCTATGGAATGCACTGAAATACTGGCACAAGATGAGATGGCACTCCATAAAGACCAGGTTTAAACAGAAATCCCAGAAACATACCTGCTCTCACGCAGCAAGTTCAGGAGATCATCTCTGAAAGTATCTCTGTTCTTCTCCAGGATCCCTCGGACGTCGTACTGGACCTAGTAAGAAACAGAGTGGGTTCAAACACAAAGCCAAGTCATCACGCACCCCTGTCGGAGGCAGCACTGTAAAAAGTGCTGAGGGAACACAGCGTTTTACTTAATTCTGAACAGCCTCGGGGCTGTTAAATTAAGCTAATGAAAACTCTGCTTGCAATAATTTTAGAAAGTAAAGAAAATTACCTCCCCAGCATAGTGTTTCACTCCAAAGTTGTGAACGGCAACTCTTGGTTTCACATAAAAAGGATTGCTCTAATGAGCAGGAAAAGAAAAGAGAAAAATATATTTGAGAGTCAGGGAGCATAATAATATAAAGGGTTACATTATCCTCTCAGCCCAGATTTAAACAAACTCCTGTCTTCCAGTGAACTCCCTGGAAGATTAGTGCTCTGAAAGCAAACAACCAACTTATAATGATAATAGGATTTGTTAGTCTGGGTTACTCCAAATGCAGTAATAACAGATTTATTGTACCTAAAAGGCATTGTACTAAACCCTAACCCATCTGGTACAACCATCCATTAAGGGCACTTTGTAAAAGAAGGACCAGTCTTAAGGTGAGTGTTATGAAGATAACCATAAGCTTGTATCACAGAAATTCTAGGATCAGAAGTAAAGGTAAAACCTTCGGTACATAAACAGACATTGAAGAGCTAAACAAACTGAGTTACCACTGCAGGTTGCCAGAGCTGTAACCAAGAGTGAAATGTGGTGTTTCCAACAACATGGAACTCTTTAACTGGATGGTAACATGAGTACATTTATTTCAGGTAACTGTCTCAGTCCTGAAAGCAAATGACATGAACTGCCATGGAAGTAAGATCAGGCCCCAAACAGACAACTATGCACCCATATAATATTTAAGAATTTCTCTGGAAGCAAAGACACCCTTCATAATTTGCTCGAAACACATTAGCAGAGCATCACATACGGCATGCTGGGCATTCAGCTTCTCCAGTAAGGTGGAGTCAGTGGCTTGAGGAAAATGGCTCTCTTCGTTGATGAGTGCCAGCAGGCCAAGTTTCTACAACAGTGAGAAGAGGCAGAAGATGAATTAACGGCACCAGTGGACACTGGCCTTGTCCGCAAGTCACAAAAATCACAAAGTTCTTGAAATTATTGTGTAGAGAGGCACCAAACCACCAGTATGCAATTAGAAACCCACCCTTGTGGGAGACTGCAATCCTATGTTTCTGACAATACTCCTTCCAGAAGAAGAAATCTTCTTGATGTAGGCAGTTTTTAGGTGCATTTAGGGACATGACCACAGAACACACTCCCAGCCTCCAAGATCCCCCGTGAATAGCTCCTCGAGCCTGAGGAGTTTGTGCAAACAGACTTGAAAAAAATGTCTTCCATGAAATTATCTAATTGCTTTTTAAACCAATGCACACTTTTAGCATCTACAGTGCTCAGGGGCACAGCAAAAACTTCTCAGTTTAACTATGCATTGTGTGAAACAGAACTTCTCTTTGTTTTGCATATACATCTGCATAATTTCCTTTGATGTTCCCCAGTTCACGTATTAGAAAAGAGGGTAAACAAAGTAAGCTACCACATAGTTAATTAATGTGTCCAGCAAACTTTAGGTTGGTACAGTCTCCCAGAAAAACGTAATTCTCCAGGTGTACATTTTAATAAGCCATTTCCCCCTAGCCTACAGCAGCTGCTGACCAACTGCCTCACAGCAGAACCATCCTGACAGCTGAATCCTCTGCCTACGAATTCCTTGAGATTTTCCATGGTCATCTAAACTCAAGCAACAACACAGCCCACTGCAGTGATCAATCCATGCAACCCTCCTGAATTGCTGACAAAAGTGAATGGATTAAAATGTCATACAACTTTTTCCTTGAAGAAATGGTGGAGTTACCATTTCTAGGCAGCAATTTTGGATCATATCTGTCCCTCACTGCTGGCATTCTCTCCAATAAGTGTGCAGACAGTTTTATATGCTCTTTTATTTTTGTTACAGTATGACCAAACTTGTGGACAAACAAAAACTGAGAGGCAATAAATGATGAAGAGGAAGAGCAGGAAGAGCAATAATGTAGCAAAACATTGTCATTCCTTCCTCCCACATCCCATCCAAGCAGCTTGTCAATCTTGTTGTTTTGGTTGAAAAATCTTCAAAGCAAAAATTTTCTTGATTTTATCTCTCAGTACTTAATACTATGGAATTTATTATTTACATTCCTTATTTTGGCTTTATGGTTTACTGAACATTACACACTAATAAACAGAAACACACACAAAAATACAGGAGGGCAAGCTTTATGGCTAAGGACAATCTCTATTTCACCTTTTCAATCATATCAGAATACTCCTCTTGCCTATAGTCACACACTGGTAAAAGCTACTTCATGGAAAGATAGGTATATTGACCTTACAAAATAATCTAGAATATAATAATCTGATGATAATCTGCGAGAATGACCACATTAAAAGAACACTACTAAAACATCCATAAGCTACTTCTTCACTTGAGCTTTGTGTCAGCAGGTGTTTTAAAAAACATTTCCTAACAAAAACTAAAAACATGAACAGATATATAAAATATTTTCTTACCTTTTCGATCAGATCCAAGCACTCTCCGTTGTCTGTCCAGTCAATATCTTCCCAAACCAGTCCTTCTCTAGTAAAAATAAGGAGTGGCTTTTTATTGACAATTACATAAGCAAAGACTTTAAGCAGAGCCTTTAAATATAGGAACTAAGGGAACTGCTGTATTTCTGCTTTCACAGGGAGTTTCAAATGCTATTTTCTAACTGCTCTCAAATTTCATCTGCAACTCTTACCTGCTGTATTCCAGTTGCTCCAAGGAAAAGATGTGCTTATTGAAATACTCCTGAAGCTTTTCATTTGCATAGTTAATATTAAACTGCTCAAAACGATTAACCTACAAAGACAAGAAACTTTCAACAATGAGCATGTTCAAAGTACTTTACTTTGCAAACAATGAACTAATTAAGTCATAACATGTTTAATAATCAAGTTACAGTGAAGATGAAAAAGATATGTAGAACAATGAAGTGCAAATGTCGAGAGGTTCCATCAGAAAAACCTTGTTAACCTACCTCAAAGTTTTCAAATCCAAATATATCCAGAATTCCAATGGACTTGAAGTCTTCCTTGCTTCTGATCCTGCTGTTGATTTTCTTAATGACCCATGCAAAACACTGAGAATAAAGTGCCATAGCCATAGAATCTCTGCTATCTATTGCCTGCATTAGAGAAGCAACATGTTAAGAGTAATCATACCTGGAACTGAGAAGATACCAGTTTTTAGCAGTCAGTGTTCTTCACACAGCACAAGGCAAATTATACCGCATATAGCTTTGCATTTCCATGTTCCTTGATGGTATCTTATCAGTTGCTATGAGCTTCAGTTCAAGCTTTAACAGTCTATTTATGTCTTTAACATTGTATTTCAAAACTCAAGCATTCAAAAAACAGAAATGATAGATCTAAGGTGAGGAGGAGGAGGAGGAAGAGAAGGGCAGAAAATACTGCCTTTCATAGGTAAGCATAGTATTAACGCACACTTTTTTCTTCTTATACACTACTAATATACCATCTTCTTCCTCTTCTTTTCCTCCCTTCTTGTAAATAACCAATGTATTTTTGCTGAATGTTTCCAAAATTGCTCACCTAACACAGGCATCCATAATTAAAAATGTCAGCCTGCATGATTACAGTTTGGAAAGAACAATAAGCAACAAGAAAGAACAGTAAATCGCAGGAGTCAACTAGAAGCTCTGACCAGAATGGTAGGGTGAGATCCATAGAGACTTCTAAAAATCCAATTATACCCTCTTCCAAAATTAGGTAGTGCTCTCGATAGCAACACAACCTTGATGCATGAAACAACCTTCTGTTATTTCATAGCCGTTCCTAAGAGATCAATGTTATCACTGGACTTCAAGACTAAACAATATGATTTAACAGACCCTGGAAGCAAGTCAAAACCGAGATGCATTTACCTGCTGTATACTAAGAGGTGTTAGGATTTCTTCTCCCCTGAGTATCATTGACCTCTGTGTCAATGCTTCAGTTAGCTGCGTGGAGTCCAACCCCAATAATTCAGCAGATCTTCCCAGAGCTGGTGAGAGAGAAAGAGCCAAATATAAATATATTCTTAAATACATAGGTGCATGAAACTCTGCTTGTTTTATTATTATTATTACTATTACTATTATTATTATTCTTACTACTATTATGATCATCATGTAAGATGTTTCTAAAATGATAGGCATTAGAAATAAAAACACAAATAGAATTTCTAAGAGCTGCAAAGAAGTACAGAATCATAAATATGCACAATTGAAGGAAATTAGTAGTACATATTCTTCTCAATTGAAGGAAATTAATAGTACATATTCATCTCAATTAAGTCACAGATATTTACCTTCCTCTTAATGTTACAAGTTAAGGTTTCAAACAACCTACTACTTTCACCAACATATTTCTCCAGCTACAAGCAGTAATTTCTTCTTTGTTCACATGAATATGTTTACGCTCCTCTCAGGATTATGAGAATAAAGAAAATAATAAACTAAGAAACTTATTTTTACATGTGTATTCTAAATTGCAATTTTGCAGTTATATGGTATATAAAGCAGTACATAATGCTACCGTTAGTTATATTTGAAATTAAAAAAACAATATGCTCATAAGCCCAATCTTTAGACATCACAGTACATAGTTTCATATTGCAACTGCAATACCAGAAGCTCTAATAAAATACAGTTTAAATGGAGAGCTCAGTTGTGGAACATAATTATGCATGTAACTTCTACCATATTGAAAATACTCTCAGGCAGGAGTTAGAATACAGTGAAATTTCACTAGGGTTAATGCAAAAAATACGTACTCAAGCTTTTTTCTAAGCTAACCCTAAAAACTAGTGTTTGGAAGAAAAGAGTGATCTGCTTACTTGTCAAAAATCCAAACCAATGTTTTAATCAACATATACAGAAGTTGAAAAGCCATCAGACCTCTTTGACTATTTGTCCTTGCTTTGGTCTGGTGTGCTAGCACTGAGCATAACTTCCACACCCCCAAGAAACACACACGTGCTGCAAGGAACCACATCCTTCTCACCTGTTTTAAAGGACACCTGTGCCCCACCAGCAGTGATAAACTCAATGTTTCCTAGATGCAAAATGCCAGCTAATAGCCTCAAAACTTCTCGCACTTCCTCCTTGCTGAACTGCATCACTTCCATTGCAGTCTGGAATGACATGTTAACTTTTTAAACACAAGGTACATTAAAGCAAATCTGGAGACACAGACAATCTTGAACATGCAAGTATTACGTTTTTACACACTCTCCTTTGGATGTTGAAGAGGCCCTATTGCTTTCAGATTCTCCAGTATGCCTAAAATTATAAGATTAAAGCGCTTTGAGTTCTGTATGAGGCAACTTCATTCATTTGTGCTAGTAACTGATAACCTCTGTTTTCACGACGTTGTGCCCATTACCTATATATGTTATATATACTATATATGTTATATATAGTTTGTATATATACTATATACGTTATAAATCTATATATTCTGATTTATAATGTTATGCTTATGACAAGTGTCTGATAGAGGGCACATAACACATTTTATCTTTAAAAAATCTATCAGTTATGAACAGCAACCCTCAGAATCTTCCCACAACTAAGAAAGGTTAAGACTCTAGATTACAGAGAAGACCTTTTGCAAGGGTGCTCTAAGGAAGCAGGCAGTGTTGCTTCTGGACACATTTCCAAGCTTACAGTGCAGTTCCTCCCTCCCTGGCCCCTTGCAAAAGGACAAATACAAAGAAAAATATCTGCAGAGAAGTACTTGAGCACTCATCTTGCTTTCAGGAAAGTGTTGGTGCAAAAAGGGGTAGAGAGGGATAGATAGACTTAAACTGTAAGGAAAAATATGGAAAGTGGATAAACAGAATAGGGAAAGACCGGAGAGGATCAACAGTAAACTACTCATCTTGCTTTCAGGAAAGTGTTGGTACAAAAAGGGGTAGAGAGGGATAGATAGACTTAAACTGTAAGGAAAAATATGGAAAGTGGATAAACAGAATAGGGAAAGACCGGAGAGGATCAACAGTAAACTTCTGGTTCCTTCCTTATTCTAGGAAAGGAAACTGGCAGCATCCACTGGTGCTCCAAATGTGTCGGTATTTACAACAGAATAAAAGCCTAACCTGTCAAGTTAACTTCATGCTCTGTGTGCTGTGAGATAGTTTGTACAAATTAAATGTCATGCTAATCACCTTAAGCTATATGACTATATTGTAGATAAACTAGCAACTTTTTCAGCATCCCTTATCACACTAGATTATGTGGTTTTACTGTAAAAATAACTGATGCCTCCACTACACAGCAGTTCTGGCAAAGAAATTAAAATAGCTAAGCCAAAAAAAAGTGAAGGGCATGAAATATGATTTTTGTTCGTTTCCAAAGTCTACCATATATCCCTTCAGTAATACGGTAGGCAATGAGCAATTCTCCTGTAAGTTAGTAAAGACTAATCACTATATCTAATTGACAACATTAATGTAGGTATGAGAAATAAAGCTGTTGAAAGAAAGTCTCCATCAGAACCTGCTCTTTAAGCTGTGCTTCAGTTTTATTCAACTGTTTTCTGTAAACTACCCTATATAACTGGATCTTCTAAGTACAACATAGGGAATTACCAAGCACTGCCCACATGCTGCAGTATGGACTTGGGCCAAGAGACATGACATGATCTGCATAAAGCTTTAAAATGAAGAAGCAGTGAAAACACACATACATGTAACATAAAACGTCTGATAAAACGTGTTATATAAGACATCTGATAAAAAAGATTGCCTTCCCATAAAAGGCAAGTTGCTTCCTGATTGCTGCATGTTTTTGAGTTTTATATGAGTAATTCCAATTCCAGATAGCTAAGGAAGATACATGAAAATGAGCCTTTTTTTTTTTTTTATAAATATAACCAGTCATCTCACTACTTTCACAGTAGCTCTATTTATACTGGAGGAGAGCAAAGGAGGAAAAGGAAATCCACTACTATATTTTTTAAGCTTAAGATTCAGGAACAAAGTGCAACACTGTAGTCTGAGGATGCTTGGCATGAGTCAGATTGCAGACGCGTGACATCAGTCCTACTGTCTGTGAACACTCTCATTCACATTGCTGTGTTTTATTTAAGATACAGGATACCCTAACGAAGGGGTTACACTCATGTTTACTCTATATCATTTTTCTTCAACCAGCACCACATGCAGAGAATTTTAACACAAATACAAAGAGATATCTTCATTACTCTAAAGTCCTGTAAATGTCACTGCAGGTAGGCATGGATGGAAGAGCAAAGACAAGCAAAAGTCTCACTGTCTCTATAACTGGCTCTCTTCTGATTCCAGAACATAATCATGCCACATGAGCACAATTAGAAATAATAAAGTAAAATCAAACAGTGGAAGCAGAGACACACACACAAAATGGAAGTGAAATGTTATCAGAAAATGTAAGTCCCTACTAGTGCCTGTTTAATACAGCACCATGTAGTAATGCATGAAAGAGGAGCAGAGCACAAGCAAGCACAGGGAGGCTTTGCACCCTGCTCTACTCATAGGTCCCCAGCATCTGCACTACCAGCACCCTTAAAGCACTAAGAACTAAGGGAACAACTCACAATGACTTCCTTGAAAGAGTCTTTGTCACTGATTGTCTTATCTGCTGTGCATCCAGATTGATTCAGGTAGTGGTAGTTCTCTGGCACAGATAAGTAAAAAGCATCTAATGAGGGAAGAAAAGAGAAAGAATGAAAAAAAAACACAAAAGAAAAACACTCCACAAATTCTTATGTGACAGCCAAATAGCTCACAATTCATTTGCTCAGAAATAAACATCACGCACAAAGAGAGCTTATAGTAAGAAAGATATGGGCTTTATTCATTTATTATTTATTTATTTATTTAGCTTTACTGAGCTGTACAATGGCGCTGAGCCTACTTTTTAGCATGCAAAGACAGCCAGCCCACAGGGAGGTGCCGAAACAGCCTTAGGCAATTTTGCACATACACAAATGTAATTTCTTTTGTTCAGTGGATTTATTCTTTATGAGAGGGGATTAGAGAAAACAAGAATTCTTCACTTAGTTGCTGTGGAGTTATTCAGTACCAGCAAAAATATTCAGTTTGAACAAAGTGAGGCATGTTTGTCCCCAAATAATTTTCCCAGTGCTTCAGCAGAAATTGGGAGGAAATTATCTGCAGCCTGACGACATTTTTCAGCTAAGCTGGTTGCTTTGTGAAGCTGAGCTCAGATTCACACTCAACGAATTCATACTTAATCAATAAACTATTTCTCTGCTTTGGTTATTGGATTCCTACAGTTAAATTTTCCACCACCGTCACCACAGCTGATACGAGCAGAGAGCCACTACAGCTGTGTCATTTGTGCTTTGCAACTCACCTTTCTCTCTCTCTTCTACCCCTGCCAGCAGAGCGTAGAATATATGATAATTTCTTTCCCCAGGGTTCTGCCTTACTACACGGTTCTGCCAAAGTAAAAGAGTTTCCATTTAAGGAATTATTTTAGGGAGAATTTATTTATCCACAACTTCCAAAAAAAAAAAGTGAAACAAAATTAGCTGAGCAAAAGCAAATATCAACTTACTTTTTCCAATAAATCTATAGCCACGTACAAAAAACTTCAGTCAAGGAATAAAGCAAAAATCATTTAATGCACAAGTTATTTATAAACCCTCCTTATGCTTTCATTTCAGACAGTAGCAAAAGCCTCACAGCCTTTTCTTAATACTTGCCTACTGTCAAAACAACATGGAAAAAACAGCAACAGTGATAATAGTACAATAGTCCTAATATCAATGTTTTCTCCTATCTTCTTTTTCTCTATGGCCTCCAAAACTGAACACTTGTCACATTCTGGATTCTAAATGGCATCTGCTTTCCTTTGTCTTTTTCCTATTAAAGTCTGGAACAGCTTTAAGCATGAATTGTAGACATGGCAAAGGCAGCTTATGCTCAAGAATACTAGATAGGATTTGAGAAATGGGCACCAGCAGCAAATTTCCTCTACTTTGCTGGCCACATCCAAGGACTCGATCACCATGCTCACATTGTGGGAATTCAGCAGTTCTGCTCTTTGAACTAGTAACTGAGAAATTGATCTTCAGCCACAGCAACTGAGGGAAGCAGTTGAGAACGGAGATCAGACCCAAGAATTAAGATCTTGCTAGTTCATGAGGTAGGAAGACACACGTGAAGCACCATACCAGGAGCAATGCAAGATCTTGCATATGATGCACTCTGCTACCCATGCATGAGTGCAAATTTGGTTGCACAGCTTGCCTTTCCCACCCAAACCAGATCAAGTGAACTGTGTGTGTTTCTGGGTAGGACAGACAAGCTACTTTTCCCTTAGTATCCTGCAAATGAGATGTATGCCAGCTGCCCCAAAATACTGAAGCCAATCACCAAACAAGGATACAATCTATAATTTTTCCTCCCTGAATGTTCCCTTGCTGACAGATGTTCAGCTGAATGAACTTCCCAAAGCGACTTGAGTTGTTGTTGTAAACAGTCTTCGCGTTTCCAAAAGCTTCCATAATTGGACTGTGAAAATACATAAGAATGACAAAAGCATTAATGTGTGGCTACCAAGCTAAGAGCTTCCCAGGCAACTGCCAAAAGGAATGGCATATGTCTTCTGGAAAAAGATTTGTGTATTTAGAGATTTGGAAAAGCAAAATCAATTAATTGTACATGAAGTAAATACCACGGCACTGGAAATACATACTATTCCTATAAAATCTGACAGCTTACATCACATTGTATGTGTAGTATGACGTAAGCTCATCATTTCTCACTGAATCATTTTTTTTGAAAATGAAAATGTGACCAAGACAATATGGGCAATAACTTATATAAATCTGTGCTCGGAAGAAAGCACTCATTTCACCTTTCTTGGTGAAACGGGATTTGGTAGGGATGAAAGGCATATACAAAGAGTTTAAAAAAATCAAAAGACTCTACAGCCCCTAATAATCTGTCTGAAGAACCTGCACATTCTCACAAATTTTGACCCAATAGTGTCTTTCAGTTAAAGAAACCATGCCTCAACAGGTACTTCATAGCAATACGGCCTGTGGTATAAAACAGGCTTTTTTATAAGGATTTTTCTAGCCAGAATGCAACTACCACGTAAACACAGGCAGAATTGTTTTCTTTTATACCAACAAATCAACATTTATCAACATCAAATTTATACCTGTCAGTTCATTCCCTGGAACCAGTATAAGAATTTTTCCTGATATCTCCACCCCAGTTTTCACATTAACCTAGTTTTTAGGCATTTTCAGCTTAAAATTTGTGGCAGTCCCATCTCAATACAGCCGATCCTTTTGTGCAACTCACGAGAGTGTGAGTGATGTACCTGCTTTCAAGAATAGCTTGCTCCACGCAGAAGGTTTTCTCTCTGGAAGACAGCTCCAGTGAATGTTGGCTCATCGCAGATAAGAACTTGAGAATTAGCTTAGTGCTTTCTGTCTTTCCAGCACCACTTTCACCGCTGAAAGAAAAAGAAGAAGAAAGTATTTTGACAGTTCCAGCTGCTGGAGAAAAGCCTTTTGCCTGGGCAGCCCTCTAAATTACTAGAAGCTATGGAGACTGGGCCAAATATCCAAGACTATGTAATAGCAGCAGAATTTGGTAAGCAAAATTCACCTTTAAACTTGCTTAATATGTCATTCACCAAAAATAAGCCATGTTAACATCACACTCTGTACCACTTTTCAGACAGCATTTCAAGGCATTTATTGAATACAGACGCGTAGGGCATTAACCTGTGCCTAATTCCTGTTCACTTCCTTGGGAAGAAGGTACATTTTGGCCTTGTTCTATCCCTTTCTTTGCAGTAAGTGGGAGTTTGGTCATGGACTTTGATGGAGCATGACTGGGCATATGCGAACGCACAGTTTAGGTCACTGTCTCTTGTTGTGCCATTGTAAGTGATGACTCTAGTGTTTTTTGGTCATGATAAAAGATCATGATGGTTTCAAATGAAAAAGCAAAGAAGAAAGGTATAGCCCAAGGAAATAGCAAGTCATTTTCCTGCAAATTAATATGAACAATTTCAAAAATAACCATGAAAGAAGCATACAAAGTACATAATGACAGACTGGGAGTCTTTTAGCTGAGATTTACTTCTAAACATTTTCCAGAAAGAAGTAGCAAGTCTTTAAAATGTTTCATAAACCTCATAATAAAAGACACACTAAATATGGTTCAGTTTGAGTTATATATTTTTCATCCACCATATTTACCGTCTCAAACTATTTTGGGAGTGTGTTACCACTCTCCCTCCAAGGTCTGAGCCTTTTTGGTATTTGTTCTCTTTCTCTCCACAGACCCACACCCATTCATGCTTCATCACCAAGGAAGCAAATCTTTACTATATCCCACATACGATGCTGCTTCTTTGTATCCTAAAAGACCATTATTACAACACATCTCCTATTAGTTTTTGCATTGTCTTTGCCTGGTGCAAAAGTCCCTTTAAGTGGCACATATCCCTTTCCGCTCATATTCTTCTGCTTTGAGCTCCACTGCAGGGATCTGGGGTCATCTCTTCTGACGACTTTATCCTTCACCTGTGACACCATCCCACAGCCTACGCTGAGGAACATTAACAGTTGTTTCACGGAAGCTGCATTACCCCAGAGTAATGGAGAGCAATTCTGTAAAGGATATATTCAAAGCTCATTGAAAAGCATTTTCTTTGCTTATTTCTAGTACAGTTGGTATTATGCAGGATTATATGCTCTTGATTTTTTTCTCAGAACACTAGTGGAAACACTGGGTCAGGCCAAAGATCTACCCGCTAGTGTCCTGTACCTCACAGTAACCAAAAGGGAAGACGCTACTTTCCCTTCCATATTCTTGCCACCTGGATTTATGGATTTATCTTCCATGGATTTCTTGCCACATTCCTCAAGAAACTCATGAACTTTTAACACTCAAAACATCTTACTGTAAAGATGATCACATGCTGTACAGAAAGCTAGCTCCTGCTGATTTGGATCTACCCCCTACTAGCTTCCTTTGATGCCACCTAGTTCTCCTATTGGAAGTAACTGCAAACTAAACATCCCTCATCTCCCTCTCCCTGCTGCTGCCAATCTCAGAGGCATCAATCACCTAGCTGCCAAGCTTGGTTAGCCATTCCCACATAACAAAGTCATTCCACACTTCCATTCCCTTTTGTTCTTTTCTGAAATGACTTCAGTTTCAACAAGTCTTTTTGGATATAAAGCAAGGGGGGAAAGATCCATTCACAATGTTCAAGACACGGGCAAAGCACGAATTTACACAGTGATCTCTGTTCTGTTCTCTTTTCCTGTACTACTACTGACTAATTCTGTTTAGTTTAACAAATACTACAGAGCATCGAGTTGATTGTTTCACGAATCCCTCCACTACAAATACAGGACCTCACTCCTGCACGATGCTGCTCTGCTCAGCACCTATCATTCTGGGTGGGGGGAGGTAGGGTTTTTTTGCCCCTTGCAAAAATGCTTCATATAAGACAGTTGCAATTAAGATGAAAATCAAAAACAAGCATGCTAATCTTTCAGGTTGTTTATTCAACCCACACAGCACAAACATCAAAGGTAGGTTAGCCCAGGATCAATCTTTCAGAATTCATAGAGAGCCGATCCCTATAGCATGTTGGCAAGTGAAGGAAGGGGAATTTTTTAGTACATACTCAACTTTTCCAGCAGCTCCTCTCCCCATGAGTTTTAATGTCCAGTTTATTCCACATTGGTACACTCAGTATTTTGAATATATTAAGGATGACAAGAACCCACGAGGCCCTCATTTAGGAGATCTTTCATCTGTCTCCATGACTTGCTGTACACAGGGCATCTCACTAAAGGCACAACTGTCTGAACTCCAGACGGCTGCAATGTAAAAAGACATTAGCAACAGAAACTTCTCATTCTGAGGGACCTGATGCAAATAAGGCTGGAGCAACACAACTCTCATCACTTCTGAGTTCTTCCTTCTGGCTTTTATACCCCAAAGACAGACATGCGTGGTCAAAATAGGCCTCCTCAGCAAACATAGGTTTTTTCAAATGCACAAGAGGATTTTGGTATGTCACTCTCGTAAGTAGGTCTTCCATCAAAAGTCTGGGTCTTATCCAAAGAGTAGTGTGTTTTATGTTGATTTTCAAGCTGAACAACAATAAAAAAAAATCATCAGGCCACCAGATGACAGATAAATAACTGAGAGAACAAAATGGTTTCTGACTGTGATTTCCTACTCGCAATGTTAACCTGAGAAGAACAGAACTAAGCATGGCTGTTACTGCTCCTTCTATTGCTCTACACCTCTTGAACTGCCTTAAGGGGAAAAAAAAAGCAATGAAAACACAACCCAAATACACAAAACCATAATCTAAACATGTGTGCTAACCGTGAACTGAAGTCACCTCTCTGGACTGCTTGGCAATTCCTTGACTCCCTTCCTGCTCCTGCCAAGGGGTCCGGACCAGCAGTTACTTAGCTCGAGCCATTCATTTGACTCTCCACGAACAGGAGCAGGGCAGCAGAAAAATCAAAAGATGCTAATAGCTTTGCAATATGTCTGTGCTAACACCAGCTTTGACTGTGATGGGCTTTTTGCACAGCTTCTCCACGGCGCCCCTCTGATGACATACATTATAGACTGCCAAGTCATTCTCCTGCAGCACTACTATGAATAACACTGTGTAACACAGGCTCATAACCAGGCATCTTCAGAGGACTTCATGGAGTGTTATCCCTTCTATATTCCCTTCTTTTTCACCTTCACTCTGAGTGTGTATGCCAGAGGGAAAAAAAACAACAATCTGGGCTTAATTTTACCATCTATGTCACTGCTAGTGACAGGTTTTGATTCTCATCTTATTCCACTCAGAAAAAAAAATCAAAACATTTCAAAATAATCCAGAAGTTTTTCCCCAGGTTTTTGAATCCAAATACCACATCCTTAAAAAAGCGTCTCCTAAACAAAGCTGAACAAATTCTGTCCACCAGCAGGGGGCACTTCAAGTCCAGAGGAGCATTAAAAACAGAACAACAGTAAATATTTCATAAGGCAGTTTCAATTGCTGAGATTTTACATCCCCATAGTGGGAACAGGTGAAAGCTGCATATCAGAATTTGAAACCTACTCTGACAACTGAATTTTAACTGAATGTAATTGTTCATTACATTTTCATGATAGAACAAAAATTTTATTTTTTCTCCTTTCTCACATACAATACTAAACTATTGGTCTGAATTCAGACATCAGCCAGAACTCTGCTAGACCATTTTTTTCCAACATCAGGAGTAATCAAGAAAACCTGACAGTGAGTTGCTGGAAAACATAGTTCTAATGCAATAAAATCTGCCAGCACAGCCAGGATGCTGAGACAGATGGGGAAACGTGTCTCCAATCTGATGCCCCACACTGAATTATGTCATCATGAAGACCTTCCTAAACTTCAGATAGCCACCGAAATCATCTACTAACTTAAAACAACTGCACCCTGAGTCCTTCACAAGCTACAGTGGATTATCTTGTTTTGCAAAAGGAACTTTTATTTAGTATTTGTTCCTGTAAATTGTAATTTGCTTCACAGCCTATAGAAACAGAAGGTGCTTCTTCTAAGGTAGTAATGATGCTCTTGCTGGAAACAGTGAACTTATTCAAAATCACTGTTTTAGTTCAAGACTGTGGTTAGCTATCTTAAAACAGACTGTTACCATGAAGTTTTTCCTTGCTATGGCTCGCCTGTACCAAGTCACAGTTTGCAGAGCTGAGACTGACAGAGTCCTCTAGACCATTCCAGACTTTTATTTCCTTTTTAGGACATAACCTGCTGCTCTCTCCGTGGCTTGTGGAGAACGGGAGTGAAAGGTAGATATTTAGGCCAGCACATTATGGGATTAATATTAATAGCCATGGTAGGCACCAGAAAGTATTTCAGTCCTGAAAATTGGGGGTACATGGGCTGTTCACAAATATTTACCTGACATCATGGCATGAAATCATGATTCTAAACTTTTTTTTTCAGATGACACAAGATATCTGCACATTTCATTTTGTCATGGACTGCCACCAGGACTTAGCTTTAAAATGTCTGTAAATGTAAATGGCCTGTGTGTATGTATATATATATATATACACACACACACACACACACATACATAAAGGAAAAAAAAAAGAAAAAAAAAGCAAGTTGAATAACTAAAATAGTTTAAAAATCTATGGAGCCTCCCTATCTCAGTGCCATTATTAGACAGAAGCTGCCTAGAGAAGAGGACAGAGTGGGACTGCCATCTAAGTAAGACCTATGAGAGAAGGTGAATATAGCCGTGCTCTAGCTGACCCACATTTTCCAGAACAGCTTTTTGTTGTTGCTGTTGAAACCCAAGCAGATGATTTTGATGTGCCGAATTACCATCTTTTCCAGGAAACCTTGCAAACTGGTCTGTAATTACAAGCACAGGTAGGAACCCCCATGGCTGTCACTTGGCCACATCCCTGCCTGCTGCTCAGGTGCCCCAGCTGTTGCAAGGACTCCCCTGGAGACCAGGAAAGGGCCCCAATCACACCACCTTGTGCCCCAAGAGCTCTCACTTCCATCATGTTTCACACACCCAAAATACTGCAGATGTAAGAGAGGGGTGAAGGGGTGGGGAAGAGGAGCTCCCTCTGGCTGCACATGCTGCCCAAAAGCTATTGAAATGCCAACTACGCCCCATGCCCATGTGGCAGCAGCAGGATCCTGAATATCAGCTCCACAGCGGAGCAAAAGGCAAGCTATTAAATCACCATTAAATTACAGCACAATTAGATTAAGCAAGGAGAATTAATCAGGCAGATTTAAGCAGTTGGAACGTGGAGGGCTTTCTCTTTTGCTATTATTATTTACAGCCTTTCTCAAGGCTGGGCTGGGAGTTTTGTTCGGTCTTTTTTCTTCTCTAGATGAAGGGTTCAGGGTCTAGCAGCAACAAACTACAGAGCTGTATGTGAACCAATATATGCATGAATCAACAGGGAAAATATGAACCAACGGGGAAAATCAGATGGGTAAGCAACAGAAATGTGCAACCAAAGTATTTTTTTCCCATTAATTATAAGATGAATAAGCAAACTGAATGTCTTGTCAGAGGTCAACAGAATGACACACAGCAAAACTCAAAAGTCTCTTCAACTAATGATTTAGAAACTTTGACGATTTAGGAACATTCTTTGATTTAGAGCTTTCCTCTTCATTTGGCCCAACTACTTATTTCAGAGCTCACCCACAGGGCTAGTTTAAGCAGCAGCCCTTTACCTGATGAGGATGCACTGGTTGTCGTGGCGCTTCCAAAGGCAGCGGTAGCACTCGTTGGCCACGGCGAAGATGTGGGGCGCGATCTCTCCCATGTGGTGCTTGCTGTATTGCTCCACGGCCGTGCAGTCGTACAGCCCCGGGATGGTCTTGTACGGGTTCACGGAGGCCACGATGGAACCGATGTATGTCTGCGAGCACACAGTTCCCCCAGGGTCAGCACACATGTGGTGGAAGAGAGTAAAAGTCAACAGAAGGACAATAAATACATGTTTGTGAAAGCTTAGCAGTCCTTGGGGGGGGTCTGCACGTAGGTGCTAACATTTTTCCCTGCTTTTCCTCTTTGATAAAAGCAACAGAAGGGTGGAAAGTCGTCTCCACCTCCATCACGTTTTCATGCTTGCCCCAATCATGCACAGCCCCTCACCACACAACACCACTGTATGGCCAAGTGCCCCAAGAAAAGAATGTGAACATGCAGGTGACCCCAAAAAACTGAGCGCCTGCTATTTCATTTACTACTGCTTTGATGTACAAGGGCAATGTGATGAGGTATTCATTGCTAGCACATGCAATTACAGAGCACATCAGCTAAAACCACCCAGGTAGTTGTTTAAGCCCATTCCCCCTGCCTGAACCCATTAAGCTGCGGTAATGTGATCATTTGCAACAGCCTATTCACACTGCCCTTCATTTTCTCAGTCTTTTCCTCCCTTCACAGTAAGCTTCTACCCACTTGAATATATTTTTCAAGCACAATCACATTAAGTAGTAATTAATATGTAACTACACTTATGAATTAGCTCTGCCTTCTCGCCGTTATCCTGCTGTTAAATTGCCCCCTACCCATCTGCTCATCTTCAGCGTGGCCCAACACGGTACCAGCTCCACACTTCTGCCAAAGGCCCTGCAACAACGTCCTTGATATTACAACAATTTCATTAAATGCAAGGGGAGCGTTTCTCTTCACCATACCTAATGTGTATTTTACGGCACTGTGAACTCTCCATTAATGTGTTTTATAAAAATCTCCACGCTGCACAACACTTCCTAAGGTTTTACCCTGAGGAAAGACAGCATTTGAATGCAGGATTGTATCACAGGCCAATTACAGCACTGAGACAGCAGTTTAATTTCCTCAGAAAGTTAACGAGGAAGGCTCTAAGCACAAACTTCCTCAGTTTCACATGTATTTCAGCACAGATTGGACGGGCAAATTTTGGCAATTTTGTTTATATTGTATGAATACAGCGTAGTCCTGATCAATAAAACAGACTGTTGTACCTCTAGTTCCTTCCCCTTTCCAAAAGACCGAGTGGCTCGGTGAAAACAGTAACTTGGGATGTGATATCATTCCAAACAAGCAGATAAAAAGTCCCCCCAAAACACAGGTAACCTTTAATTTTATCACTGTAACGATCCCCTTTACAGCTTTCACATGATCAGATACATAACAGAAGATCATCACAACCCACCTTCTTTGATCTTCCCGTGATAAAGCATTGGCAAAACTGCACTGCCAACGACTGCAATACAAATTTTCTTGCTTCTCCTATTTCAAACGGTACATACCACCAGAAGCAACAGCGGCCTGCTTTTGCACCAGAGCTCAAAGCAATCTTTCACCTGGCTTAAACTTAAAGGTGATAATAAAGATCCCACAAAACGTCAATCACTTCTAGGCATAAGTAAAGTTTACTTTTTTTTAAAGCAGGTCAGCTTCCTTCATTCTTCATAATGAATGTAAGGAATCATGAACAGAAAAAAATACTCTGATAAAAGCAGAAAGTTGGTGACCAGCAGAAACAATACAATACTGCTTAAATGTATTTTTATATCATCCCATAGAGTACCTCTCAGGACATGTCACTATTTCAAAAATTTCTTCTCTCTCTTTCTTTCAGCAAAGAGCAAGAGAACTGTAATTTCTAATCAAGCAGGTAACATTATATGGTGCTACTCTTCTGCTAATCTGAGTATATGGTATCTCTCTGCAAAACAAGTTCAATATGTATACAAAATCCCATCTAATTATAATAACACAAGGTAGAAGAGACTCAAGTCCACAAAAATGTTTTTTTTTTTTTTTTAATCCCAAAATATGATGGCTAAACAGTCTTCACAGGTATAACTAGCTGGCAGGATTAGGTTAATCCAACAAGTGTGGTAATTCAACAAGTGTGGTAATCCAACCCAGCAGCATGCAGGACCAGATACCCAACAGACCACTAATTTCCCTGCAAGAAGTAACTTGGGGTTAGCTGGCCCAAATGAACATTTCATCTTAATGCAAGGTAATCCAGCAAGGCATTAAGTTAAACAGCATAGTTTTTCATATATTTTTACTCTGTAGTTATTAAAAACTATTTTAAAATGTCCCATTGAAGGACAAATCCTCCCCAAACGTTCCTAAACGTAGCCCAAGATTCTCTACAGCAATGAGATTTGATAGTAGCTTCTGAGAAGTATTTCTTACATCAACCCCAGGTTTTTGAGAGTATATTCTGTATACCCTACCTAAGCTACTAAATCAGATACATGATACACAATATAATCTGAATCCATACACAGACCTGTGCCATTTCCACTGCTGACCAATCTGTTATGTCCCTGGGCAGGGCTCTGCTTTCTGTCCCCTAGGGGACTCTAAATATCCTCACCATTCAAGTGCTTCCTTTGATGACAGACCTTCCAGCATGGCAAGTACAAGCACGTGAACAGCAAGTTAAACCAACGTACAAATGCACACCAAATGCAGGAGTGTTTAGTGAATGCATGTTATTTGCAGGAGTGCTGCATTAGGCACCATTTATATAGTAGATTAAAGCAGTTAACAGTCTTTAACAGACTAAGAGTCTAACAGACTTTATGATGCTAACACAAGGCAGCAGTTTAGGTGAAACTATTGAGAAACAGTATTTTCACGTGCCATTTCCACTTTGCTTAAAATAGAGTGAATTCTGTTTTCTCTTTGTTCTTTGCAGTTTCTAATCTCATTCGCAGAGTCAAGAATTACTCATTTTAATGAAAAACCTCAAAAGCGGTTCTGAATAGGAAAAACATTCATAGCTCTGGCAGAGGACTAGCAAGCAGATAGGATTTCTCAAGACCTCTTGTTGAAAACTTTTGAGAGGCATTTCACAGGAACATTGTATAAGGCTTCTACCACAAATCCCATCGTCTTCTTAAGTCAGTGGCAATGAACAGGATAGGACAGTTCACTTCTCTCTCTCCCTATTTATATAACCAACCCAAAAATTTAGTGAGTACCACACAAATTTTTGAGTTATTTTGTTACAGACTAAACCAGCAATAACTCATTAGCAGATAACTGCTAATAAAGTTAGTTGAACGCAAGAATATGTGAAAGTTAAGTAATTCAGCCTGAATCCCAATGTTGTACTTTGACTACCGTATTAAAAGAACAGGCTCTTTTTTCACTTTTATATTTTTTCTGAAATTTTATACTTATAATTATTCTCCTAAGACACTTTTAGTTGCAAACCACAGACATTCCTGCTCCCTCTTTTAACTTAAAAAAGGAGGAAATATGATTGCTTGCTGCTTCTAAGAGGACTTCCAAAATTAGAAGTTCAAATCCCATCTTCTTGCCTAGCCACTCAGCAAAACAAGGGCATTACAAGAGCCAAAATGAGAGAGAGGTACTTGATAAACAAGGAGATTTTTCATCAGTTCTCTGAACGCACTTTTTGGTTTTGCTTGTTGTCTTCTCATAGGAAGTAGCTTTAAATATCCTGTCTTGAAATTGTCTCAGACTTCTTCAAACAATCGAGGCCAATTCAATTCTTTAACAAAGTTAAGACCTCACAAAGTTTCTCAAGACCCACAGCAATACTCAAAAAAAAAAAAAAAAAAAAAAAAAAACCCTGGAGGGGTCAAGCCTGTCATTGCAGGGACTTTGTTTATACAAGGAAGATGCAATCAGTTTAATCGAGTCTGTTGTCAAATAGATTTAAATAGTTTTAAAACCTTTGTAGGCTAAAACCAGCTTTTTCAAGTTAGTCTTAAAATTATTAGAAAAGGTTTGCAATAGTTAAACTAAATCCAGTTTTAAATATCTTCATATGTAGAAAAGGCTTTGAAAGTAAAATATGAACAAGTTAAGTCTCCCCCTTCAAAAACTGCTTCAGGTTTTCCACATTAAAAAAAGCAACAGAACTCACACCCTACATGGCATTACATACTGCTTCGCAAATAAGTATTTGATCTATAATCACAGCAGAATCTAAAACTATTTGCACTACTGGTATGAGAAGATCACATGCCTCAATTTCTGTCATTATGTCTCTTTTTGGAGACACCGAAAAACAACATATTTTTTTCCAGTGTTGCCTAAGATGGTACTAAGAGTGTTGGAACTGATCAAAATCAGAAATTACATGCCTTCTTACAGATATATACATTGGGAGTGAGAAACATATTTTTCCTGTCACCTCCTTTTTCAGAGTACTTTAAAGATATCACAATCTTTAGCATCACAATCAAGAAGTATCATAAGTTATTTATCTGGATTGTTTTGTCACAACTCCAGAGTTTGCTGGAATCACTAAAGGAACTGATTCTGTGTCATGAAAAATGAAGGTGAGGCATGCATTTTGTCTCCCTCTGTTAGCAAATACTATCGTATTAGTAACAGCGAGATAATTTACTCAAAAATATGGTCCGCTGGGATGTCCCAGGATATGTGGCCACTTAGATGAAAATGTAGTGCAACTGGTTCACTAGAAAGCTACTTTATGACTCCTTTAAAAAAAATATGTGAAAAGATTTCTACTGCTATTCCACGGAAGTTGCACTTATATCATACCTTTAAATTATGACGGCCGCACTACCAAATTACAATATCTGCAACTTTCACAGCACATGCAGATGGAGACAATCCATGAAAGAACACAAAACAGCTTTCCGACTTCATCTTTTCAATGCCAAATTTCAAGGTTTCAGGAAACAAAACTTGTGAACAGATGAGTTTGTCTAACACTGTAGATAGAGCTCTTATGGCTCCAAGTTCTTCCAGGTAAAAGGATTTATCATAATCATGACAAAGATAACTAGGTCAACAGCCACATACACGTCAGCATAAGAAGTAGGGTGATGGCTGGACCATATTTTGGCATGCTGCTTAAAGGAAGAAGCAGAAGAGGCAGGCTATATCATAAACAGGATGATA